CGCGTGATATGCGTAGTGCGTGAAAAATGATACATTCGCCAGTTTGTAGTAAACAAATCGATTGATATAGCGACATTCGCCACTTTGCTAATTAATTTTCTTCCTTAATTACTTATCAAATTGACTCAATTTTTTTGTCAGAGATTCTACACAGTAAAACAACTTAAATTCACAAATAAAAAAAAAATTGATTTTTCCACATTCGCCACTACGTTATATAGGGGACGTTATTACCGTAAGTAAAACTCATAAAACAAGTGAAACCCTTAAACCTTCAAAAAGCAGGTAAAAACGGTAAGTATAATATAGGCCTATTATTAGAAATACGTTTATATTTAAAATATATTTACAGGTTAAAACAATTTACTGATTGCTTGTCATTTCAGATTTTGCTGGCAATACAATCTCTCTCGACCTTTGAATATATTTCAACTCGGTGAAGACTTTATCATCATGCATATGTAGTTTGTTCCTTGTTATAGCCGTAACATAAAGAGTGTTACTATATTGACTGGTTATAGGTTTTATATTTACAAAGTTCATTCTACTTTGTCTCGTATTGTAATTATGATACTACTGATACTACTAAGAAAACAAAACAGCAGAGTGGAGGAAAATTAGAGATTGTCAAATAAGAATGATTTAATTTTATTGATTTATCATCTTCATCTTTGGATATATTGTTATCATCTTCATCTTTATTATCACGGCTACGGGAGCCCCCACCCCAGTGTCATCATCATCACCATATACATGATCTTTATCATCACTGGTACGGGCTAGAGTCAATCGATGGCATCGCCATCATCAACAGTGTCAATACCATCAGGTCTATTAGAGCTTCTAAATGGCATCACCGTCAGCATCCTCTCCACATAGCCTACATGCCATGGAGGCTCACGCATTCGGCGTGTGAGACTTAAGCCGGGTACTCACTGCGCGCGACGGCGACGCGACGGCAATGCGACGACAACGCACGCGATGGCGCGGAACCACCAGACCGGTTTTTAATGAGGATCCGTTCACAGACTGCCACTCTGACAGTCAACAGACGGCGTTATGTCGTCTACCGCTCACCGGAAGTCGCGGTTCGCCATACGACGGTCGTACGACGCAGTGAGTTGCAGGTTTTACGCATTTGAGGTCTGCCTCACGCTCACGCCTAAGGACTAAAATCTCACGCATAAATGTAATATTACCTATATCCCCCCCCCTCACCGCACCCCCTAGATACGCCACTGAACCCAACATAACAAGGATGGAACAGGTATGTCGGTGTAGTAGCTAAAGCCAGTGGACCTTTCCAGAGTGTGAAATTTACTGACCAATTTGAATCACAAAAGGATTTATCAAACTAGAGATCAGCATAAATTCGTCTTATTTGTTGCTTAAGTCAGATTTCAATATTGCTTAGCCTAAAATTTGCTTAAAATTTAATTTTATCAAATCAATTTTTTTTATTCAATCTATACAATTAGTAGCAGCCAAAGCTGAATTGTAGCTTTGTATTTACAAGCTTTCCTACCAAATATAATAGTAATAAAATTTAAATAATGTACATACAAATAAGACCATTATAATAATTACTAGAAGCAAAATAATAAAAATTCCAATAAATATCACCATACCAAAATCATAAAACCCTAAACACTATTATTATTATTATTATTATTATTATTATTATTATTATTATTATTATTATTATTATTATTATTATTATTATTATTATTATTATTATTATTATTATTGTTATTATTATTATTATTATTATTGTTATTATTATATTATTAAAAACAAATGGAAAACACACAAAAAACGAAAAATCAAAACCACAATCACAGCAAAACGGCAACAAATCAGGGGTATAAAACATGAAAAATTGGTAACAGCAACAGTAAAATCGGAAGTAAGTTTACAGCAAAAAGATTCTAAGAGCCTGGCAATCAACAAAATTCAATTGTACGTATGCACCATCTAAAACGATTTTAAAGATAAGATTTTGCTGTTTGATAAATCAGCTTAAGATACTTGCTTAGGGACATTTAACTATTTTTTACTTAAAGCATTTGCTAAACTGAGATTGATAAATCCCGAGCCAGGAATATGCGCATGATTAATTTTATTTTATTTATTTCTCAAAAATACAAAAGATAATAAAAGACAGACGCAATGAGAAAAAAACTAAGAGGGAGGATAACTGAATCAATTATCCACAAACGCGCATGATGCTTGCATATGTTTATTGCAATCATTTTGAGTTATCTTAGCAACACTATGAAAGAGCATAGCAGAAAGGTCCATTATCAAGTTGTCAACAAAACAATATTCTGTTCATGTCAGGTAAGTAGTACCGTAATATGGCTTAGTGTTATAAATGATATGTGCCATTCAAATCAATATCGTGCCAATCAATCAACGAAATGTAGATAAAATATTTTAATACCAATAATAATCAAAATCCATCTTAACAATAAATACAGATTTAGTAGCAGCATGTTTATCAACAACTATGAAAAGGACTGTGTCCATGGTTATGCCCGGCAGAGGGGCTGACTGCCCTGGTGCGGGGGTGGGGGGCGGGTGGTAATTTTGACTGAGCCGTCTAGGGAAACTATGAATGTTCGACGAATTTTGGTGAATTACCGTAATAGTTTTATAATCAGTGGCGTATCTAGAAGTCTTGAAGTGGGGCGTGATCAGTTGAGGGGCGTTCACTGGCAAAAGGTGATTTCTGGTGATTTTTAACTACTTGACCGTGATTTTTTCGGGAGGGGGGGGGGAAGGGGTTCGCACGTAATTTTTGGAGGGTCGTGTGCCGCATTCCTAGATACGCCAGTGTTTATAATAGGCATCAAGATAATGTAGTCAGTGGCAAAAAGTCTATTTTGTCGTAGGGGGAATCAGCTTGAATTGACCCAGAAGGTCGTGTACTGGCACTAGGCACAGTGTACTGCTTCATTTTCTCTAGGGGAATGGTGTCCCTATACATGATTGATACGACTTTTAAAGTCAATAGTATCAGTTAATGTAATGAAGTGGTGGAATAAAGGTTTAATGCGTTCTCTGCGTTTTGAGTCGAACATATTCAAGATGAAATGAAATTGATGCCAGAAAAATAATTTAACGAACACTTTGAAACCATTTTTGTCTCTGAAAGCTCTGACCACAAACATCCACAACCCTCCAGAACAGTGCGCCAATACTCATGAGACGTTCACTGATACCATTGGTGGTATTGCAAGAAGCGTGCACGATGTCTTCGGCCGTTGGTATAAAATCATATTAAGAAGAAAGCATACTAATTATTATAATATAATTCTTTTTGGCATGATCATATTTTTGGAATTATTGCTTTGAATATTAAAAAAATATATAAATACAACAATATTAAAATAACAGCACAAGTACAGCATACTGTGCTTTTGAAAACTGGGTCAGGGAGGAACTGTATTTATACATAAATTTAAAGACAAAATATTGGAAAATGACAATGCTGTGGGAAAACTTCTCTCGTGATGCCAAGACGAGCTTGCTGGACCAAAAATATAAATATCCCTATTCAAATAAGTTTATTTGGAATTATCAATAATACATTATGGTATAAAAGCACAATCTGCACTCTGTTCAAGGCTGTAGTCCACTCCTTTGTTCGGACCCAGCAGTAGATGTCAGATCCCTCTCCACGCAAAAAAAAAACTCCATGCAAAAATCTACCTGGGATTTTTATGCTGGGACCAAGATCAGCCACTTGATTCTGACCCCCTGTCGGACATATTGAACCCTGTCTGCAAATTTCTGGCACAACTACTGGTACGTGTGTATAATTGTAGATTATTATTATTTATTTATTTTGTACATGTTCAGGGTTGTAGCTGTAGAAAATTAAGGGTAGGTGGGTGATAAAATGGTAACTCTAGATAAGATTTTTATAATGGAAAAAAGGAGTTAATAAGGGTGGGTGGAGGGCCATGAAATTAGCTTGAAACATGGTGTGAAAACTGGGTGGCCCCATCCACCATAATTAAACTTTATATATTTATTATAAATATACATTTTACCTGACAGGCCTGTTTAATTAATTTCCTTGTTGAAAGCCGAATTGTCTATTAAATCTAATTTACAGAATAAGACAAAAAGAATCATTAAACTACAATAACAGTGGCGGATCCAAGAATTCGAAATAGAGGGTGTCCAGGGTTAAGGTTAGAAAATGATTTTTGCAGCTCTAGATGGCTGGAAATGGCCTCTCAGAATTATAATTTTCCTCCAAAGGGGCCCGGGTTGCTTCGCACCCACTCCCCCTGTTTCCTCTACTGAATAAGCCGCCAAAAGTATTTATTATATGAATCACACTGCATCAAATTGGAAAGGCTTCTAAATTCTCAATGTCGCAATTCATTTAGTCATGGTTATAGGGAATATTACACTGTTGTTCATCGGCCTGGGCACCTTAAATTTCCTAAATTATAAAAAAAAATTGAGAAAAGAAAGAAAATTATATACGAATGTAAGTCTGAGATTACCATTTCCAGCCATCTTCAGGTGCAATAATCATAAAAATAAAAGCAAAATATCATACAGATCATAAACTGGTTTCTTTCAAAAAAAGGTTTTATTATGAAATGCAAAACGATCCTTAAGGATTATTTCAATTCATTTAAATATCTGAATTTGATCCAATTTAATTGACATTCTAAATGACAAGATGAATATCATTACAATTCCCCTCCTAAAAATAATTCCAGCCATTAATACTTTGGTTATACAGTAAGGGTATAACATGACATTATAAGAGTATAACATGACATTTACCAGCCAATATGTCAACTAAAATCTAGATTCCAAGAACATTACTAACAAATCTAAAAACTATGTTTCTATTCATCGCTAAAGCCTGCTCTGAAGTCATATTCCTTTCCAGTCATTTGAAGAAATGTCAATTGTTCATAGGCAATCCTTTCCTGAATATGCTCATTTTTACATAGGGACGGCAGCCTTCTTTTCACAGTGCATTGCTCTTATAAACACAACTGACTTTATCTGCTATAGATGAGAAAAACAAACAAGCTGTCCATAGTGATTCAAAAAGTGTCCTCCATTGTTATTTTTCATGATTTGAACTGCGACCTTAATGTACTTTGAACCTCTCATATTGTTATCAAAATTCAAATGAATATTTTCCATTTTGATTCACACCAAGACATCCGATAATGTCCACCAGGAATCAAACTCCAGCCACTATCCATTGCTCTATAGCCAAGATAAATCGGCCATATACTGTACCATTGTATATTTTCATTCAGGCTTTTTTGTGCATACTCTACTTCGCAATTGGTTCACAATTTTCTCAAACAATTAATAAATCATGTAAACATGTATACTTATTATTAGAAAAGATTTTTTTTTCTCTTATAGTGTTAGCGCCCTCATGGAAGGGTTCCTCCTTACCAAATTATATTTCATTATGTAGCTGAAGAAGCTTAGATAGCTTCTTGAGAAATTCATTTATTCATTAAATGATTCATATAACAGCCACTTCCTACCACTACTACCAACACTCAAATATCTACTTCTATCTATTTCCAGGTTTAATTAAATTAAACAAACATGTGTACAGAAAGTAAGGCATAACAAATATTTATAACCAAAAATAAATTGATATTAACAAAATTTCATATCAAAACAATTCTATATATTTCATTTTCTAACCAACATTATTTATATAAAAATGTTTAATTTAATCAACTATTATAATTGTGGTACCTACTTTTATTACTAAGGATTAATATTTTATTATTAATTAATATCTGGGTATGGTATGAATATTTGTGATTTAGGTGTATTCAAGATAGCACCACTGTTACCTAGCAACAATAATACTGTACAGGAAAAATACAAAAGCCTGTACTTACTGATTCTACTCAATCCACATAATTCATTAAGAGTATAATCTCTAAAAACTTTCTGGCAACCTCAACCAACATAGGTTCTGAATGTACATTATTTATCAGTTTTTTTTTTTTAACTTTTCAGAAAGAATTTAAACAATAATTTGTTGAACATCTCATCTCCTTATTGCCTCGCAGACTTCATTTTGAGGATATTCAATTTGCACTTTGTACACTGTAAATATAAACTGTACAAATTTCTGCAAAGACTTTGTGCAAAGCAATTCAATCCACCGTACAATAAATTTACTTACTTTAAAAATAATACATTTGTCATACATTTCAATATAAAGATATCCTATAATTAACTCACCTACCCAGGTTGACAATGTGTCTGCGTTTGTTGAGTGTGGTTGAACAGTAACATTAATATGTATATTGTGGTTTATCTCTGAGTTATAGCAATGTACTTTGCTTAAGCTACCATTGTCCAGCATTTTAATTTTTTTTTTTCACTATTATTGTATTCCATTGTTATTAATTGTAAATGTTGGTCGAATAAATAAATTAAATTCATGTGGAGCTTTCGTTTGCATGACAACTGTAACAAAATGTCGTCACATAAAGTCAGCAGCGTATGCAAGGAAGTTGCGTTCTTGTCCTCTGAATTCTAGGATGCGTATTGACCTGAATATTGCAAGAAAACGCAGGGCAGTTGTGGATGAGTGAATCCGTTCCAGAGTCGCATTGTTGCACAATCAAAAGCTCACTAATGAGGGATATGTTATCTTTCAAATGATACACACTTTAAAAATTTAAACACATTACACAACCTTTGAAATGAAAAACCTCTAGTAGTGACTATCACCGTACAAATCTGTGAACTACTCTTTTGAATATAAAGTTAAACTTTACATCAAATACAGTACATGTAAACCGTTTATTTTAATATTATTGTAATTACTGTTAACAAAATTATTGGATATTTGGGTGAAAACTTAAAACTTGTATTCAATAACTAAGACAGTCTATAAAACCTTCATCATTTACAGATTACTGATTGATATACTGGGTGGGATTTCTATCCCTGATTTCTAACCAAAGTTCACTGAACTATCATTTCATTATATAATACACATTCCAACCACCTGCTTTCTGTATATAATAATGTAGCTACTACAAGGCATTTAACACATCTGCCATTCTTAAAACCTTTTTTTCTTCTTGCTACAATCCAGACTGATGTACTACATTATACAGTACAGTAGCATATTATACAGTATTATGTAGTACAATGCATAGGCTACAATGCACTATAGAGTATAGCACAGAATAGTAGAAGCTACAGTATAGGCCAGTACTGTGTACTGTCATACATACTGTATCTTCCAATATTGCACCCTGTACTGTATTCTACAAAACTACTAAACAGAATATTAGAGTACAGTCTAAAGCAGAGCATTACAGTACCTATTTAGTACTATTATCTGGCTACTGTAGTGAATACAGCAGAACAGAACAAGTGATTGTACAGTACATTCACTGAATGTATTCCAATATAGCACAGGGTATAGGTCAGATGAGCACTCTACTACAACATAGCAAAATACACTATAATAATGTACGTACAAAGTATGTTACACGATATCATTCATTATACCACAATGCATATTATGGTAAGTACACATTATAGCATATTATAATAATAATACACTATAATAATGTACTGTACGTACAAAGTATGTTACAAGATATTATTCATCATACCACAATGCATACTATATAGTCAGTATTGTACTGAACAACACAGACCAAAGAACATGCACAAGCACTGTACCAGCCACAGAACAGTACGTAGCACAATATTTGCCACTGAACATGGATCAAAGACCAAAGCATAAGCACTGAGCAGTGCATAGCTCAGTACATGCCACAAAGCAGTTAAGGCCAAGCAGCACAGCATTTGCCACAGCACAGTACAAACAACAGTACAGTAGCACAGTACAAGCAACAGATAACAGACAACTGCACAGTACAAAGCACAGAGCAGGCTATAGCATAGTATGAACCATAGACAGTACAGTACAAGTTATTGTAGTGTTCCCTGTCACATGCTACATGATAGCGCATGCTACATTGAAGTATAATGTATAGCATATTACACTATTCTATAGTTTTTGTCAGTATAGCATTAAGGTAAGCTATACCACAGTACTATACATTCTACAATATACTGTATCATACACTACATGATACAGTACAATACACGATAAATACAGCCTTCAGTAAAATATAGTACAGTGTAGGTTTTAGAACAGCAAATACGGTAATGCATGGTACACGCTTCAGTGTGTAAGCCAATATTACTATTCATTAAAAAATACCATGTTTTTTTCTGAGTGAATAAATGAACTATACAATTTAAAACTACCATTCGTACATAAAAAAACTATTTACAAAAGTGATCCTTTTCTGAGTTGGTCTATGATCTAGTGTGAAGACAGGGAGGTTGCTATAGACCATTTTTGCGAAATTTGAAATGAAAATTTCCGATACCCTGGTGACATTCAGAGGCCTACGCACTTCACACTATGCAATTACCAGTGTGCGCACGGCACTCTACACGACACTAGCTAGATGCTCATGCCAGGCTAGGCCGCTAAAAGTTCCCCAGTGAGTTGCGAGACGTTGGTGGTGCTGTTTCAAAAATAAATCCAAATAAACAAAAATGGTCTATATGGGGGTTAGGTGTGTTGTGCTGATATAGACTCAAGGCAAAGTATTACATATAAAATACTGAGATTAATTTTCACTATTTTAACTGTTTTTAATAAAGTTCTGAAAAAAATTACAATTTTATACAGTACCATTTTAAATACCAACTTCTTATTTTTTTTTTAAGTCTAAAAAAAAAACTTGATAATTTATGTGGGCTGACATATTGCTTCCATACTCCAGTTGTATTATAAGGAATGGTCTCTATTTATACAAATAACTATTTATGAAATACATTCTATCTTTACTTGTTTTCCTTTTTGCATTTTAAATAGTTCCCTCAATGGAACTGGTAGGAGATTTCAAATACACAAAAGGGCACACCTGATTGGCTTGGTATAACAGACATTGGTAAAGTGGAAAAAGTACTAATCATCTAGAAACAATCACTTATTAGGATATTGAAATTAATAGCAACAGTGAGCATGTAATTATCTGATGTACACAGCTCTTGATATAACACTCAAGTATCTGATGGGTTCAGCAGCTTAATCCAATGGGCCTTTCCGATGTCAATAAAACTTAACTACTGACCAATCAGAATAGGGCCAGTAATATGCGCATGTTCTATAAACGTGCTTGCGTATGTAATGCAATCATTTTGTGTTGTCTTAGCAACAATATCCATGGCATAGCAAAAAGGTCAATTACCTGCTATACTATAATTTACCAGTGTCAAATGATTATAGTAAAGTTATCAACAAAACAATGGCCATATTCAACAAATATTGAAATGTTGAGTATTATTTTCATTTGGCTGGTTTGTAAAATAGACTTCATTGACAAAAGACATGAAAGTAAACTAGAGTGCAAGTGTTTACCAGTTTTCTATTTGTCTGGTCATCTTCGTTAAGTAGGATTTTACCACTGTGCAGACAGGCATGTTTTAATTAATAACGACCAGCCAAATACGGCCAATGTTCTTTTCATGTCAAGTAAGTATTAATGTCTTAGTGTTAAGGATGACGAGTGCAGATAAAATACATTGTACTGTCAAGTGCAGATAAAATATTTGAATACATAATCTAGAAAACTGAATTAAGGCCCAATAAAAAAAATTGTTAGTTTATCATCCCCGCCCACATCACTATCTCGGACCGCATCAATTTTTTTATTTTTTTTTTATTTTTGAATTTTATATATCATAAAATGTGTGTTTTAGGTGTACAAACTCATAAATACCGGCAAAACGAAGCAGGGGATAAAGATAAAATCGTAGCCGTCGCCGTTCACAAGACGTCTGGAAATACTTAATATTACATTCCAGACGCTGTAATACTCATGACGTTCACATACAAAGCGATAAGATGGATTGTAATATCAAAACGTCTGGAGTTTTTAAACTAGCTACGGCTGGCTTTTCCCTAGCTCGATACAATAGGTACACGCTTCACGATGTTCGTTCTGTAGAAAAGAATTGTACTTTCCATTGAAGTATGTAAACTATTTTTGATGCATGTACAGTAGAAGCTGTATTAAGATTCCTCAAGCTGCATACTCCTTGTTCCGCCTTTCAATGGATTCATGAGTATTTTACAAGTTTCTGCTGTTTCGAACTTAAATGCCGGCATGGAGAAAACAAAAAAACCCCTCCCTCCCTCATCACTTTTCAAATTTAGTCGGATGATAAACTAACAATTTTTTTTATTTGGCCTAAAGGTAAAAAGGTAAAAAAAAACCAAAGAACAAAAATTAAGCAATGCAAAAGAAAGAATAAAACCATCACTACACACAATTTCAGTAAATCACACATTTGAGGCAATGCTTATGTTTTCAAGACCATTAACTAGTTTTTGTCTTGATTAAGTAAAAAACATCAAGAATATGACAGTATAAAATAACTATTGTTGAAGACTTAAGGTAGTACTTAATTAAAATCTGTTTCCTGTAAACACAAACAATGTTGTCCACAAAATTAAGAAATTTAATATGGAGTTTGTTTCACCATCAAAACCCATGTTAATACTAAATTCAGATTTAGTAGCAGCATGTTCATCATCAGTTAGTGAGCTCCATCAAAAGTCTGGATCAAAACAACTATAAAAGTACTGTGTTCTGTGGGTATATAAACTGTGTCTACTGTAACATCAAATTCTTCAGGTTGTCTTGGAGAATGGTGTCTCTAACAGCATGGAACACAAATCGAATGTTCTCAGTATCAACTGCTGTTGTGAAGTGGTGGAACAAAGCTTTACTGCGTTCTCTGCGTTTTGAGTCAAACATATTCAAGAGAAAATTCTGAACATCATCCAGCTTCTGGGGATCTCCATTGAAGTTGGGAAAATAGTCACTTATGTTAACTGTTGCTATTTTCTTTGTAAGTAAGTCTGTCTTATTTAGGAACAAAATAATAGAAACGTTTGCGAAGTACTTGTTGTTTACAATTGTCTCAAAAATATTACACGACTCAACAAGTCGGTTTGTGACTCGATCCTCCATTAGAACTTGATCAAACTCGCTGGATGACACCAGGAAAAGAATTGATGTAACACTTTCAAAACATTGAAACCATTTTTGTCGCTGTGACCTCTGACCACCAACATCCACAAACTTGAAGGGCACTCCCTTAACCTCTATGAGACGTTCAACGATGCCTTTAGTGGCTTTACGAGCGTGCAAGATGTCTTGGGTCGTTGGTGTAAAATCCTATTAAGAACAAAGTACACAAATTATAATATAATCAAAACTTTGGCATGAGCATTGTTTTTGAAATTACTGCTTTGAACATTATAAAGAATAAAAATATAACAATTATAAAGAATGAAAATATAACAATTATAAAGAATGAAAATATAACAATTATAAAGAATAAAAATATAACAATTCAATTTCTTTATTTCAGATGTCTCAATATAAAAACATTAAAAAGCCATGTTTCTTGTAGAAAGTCTATGTCAAAACTATTGCACATATCGCTCACTTCTTTCAACTTCCGGTTTACACTTTTGCAGTTGACCACTTTACATTTCTAGAAGCCATAATGAAATTTCTTATTCTGCTTTAACTCATATAAATAAATGCCCTTGTAGGCCATGACTCAAGGCTAAAAAACTTCACTTTATAAACAGGGTTATATTCAACACAACATATACAGTAAATGCGTTTTCCACAGTTGAGAGTAGCTTAGCTCAGTCAGCTAATCTGGTGGTAGCCACTGTGTGTGCACTGAACCATGTAGGTCCCCAGTTCAATTCCCAGAGGGAGGGCTAAAATACAAGTTAAAATAGTGCACCGTCTTTCGGATAGGACGTTTAAGCCCTTGGTTCTATATGCACCTATGGCCCATGTGCACGTTAAAGAACACGTTACACTCTTCGGAAAGGAGTAGGGGATTGTCTCACGGTGTACTGCCCAATCACCTCCAAAAGGACCCCAATGGAAATATAGTCTTCTTCTAGACTTTTGTAGGCTATTCTTGGTGTCTACACCAAATAAATCCAATTCAATTTTGAGATTGGTAAGTAAGATAAGATAAGATAACATTTATTGTCCAATAAAACAACTGGAAATTTCCTCTGGCAATACAATACACAAGGCAAGATTAAAGATCACCACCAAAAGGACCCAATTGGAAATAAGTCTTCTAGACTTTCATGGGCTATTCTTGGTGTCTTGGGCTTAATAAGTAAATGATGCTAAATCATTTACTCAGGTTGACCTCAACAGGTTGTCAGCATACACTTTTAGTGGTGGTCCTGGTCTCGAAATCATTACCTCTTCCATTTTATAATTCCTTTGGGTAGTTTTTTTTCGTGTTTTGTGTTCTGATTCCCACTCCTGTTCACATTCACGCCTCTAATGGCCATTAGACTTAGCTGCCTTTTCTAGGATAGAATAGGAGCATTTCAGTATGAATCACACCAAGGAACCCATTAAAGTTTGAAGACTTGTTTCCAGTGGGGTCATTCTGGTGGTGAATTGGGCAGTTCAACCGAAGACAATCCACCTCTTTCCAAAGGCATACTAGAGATCTCCACGATCAATGCACATATAGTGGCTACCACCAGTTTAGGCAACTACTGTATCACCTCTTGCTAAGTAGCTGAGCATGAATGACCTTTGTTGCGAAACCACAGGTTCACTGTATCACAATAACTTCAGATCATTTTAATATTTTAGATTCCCAGCATCATTTAAAATTGTTTTTCGTGAATGATATAGTTTTTCCCAACTTGTCATGGGATGAGTCTTGAGGACTATTTACAGAGTGTACAGAATTTCATCTACTCAATTTGGTTTCTGCACATCTCTAAAGGGTGGAATTCTATCCAGTCTACTGTAGCAGCTACAAATATAGGCATGTTATCCGATTAAAATCTACAATCATCATAAAGTTTAGAATACTTTTCAGAATATTCTTCAGATTGTGCCAAGTGTAGTAAGGCCAAGTATGCTTAGCGACGATGGTTATAGACAGAGCTCAAAACCCAAAATTACAGCACAGATTGGTACAGATGCAATCAAAATCGCAAAAACCAAATATTTGTGTGCATCAAAGATCAGAAAGAATATTAATCAATGCCTCACCACACACTCTCTAAGCAGGTACTATCATCCTCACTTTTAAGAACACTAAAATAGTAATATTTCTTAGTGTTAGAAATATACAAGACCAAACTATTAATGAATGTAAAAATTATAGGAAATAAGCAATGAACAGTAGGTTCTATGGTTTACATGCAGTTAAAGATGTTATTGTGCAGTTTTTTTGTCAGACATTGTAGGTCCTATGCATTTGTAGATAATGTGGCACTCTCTACACTCCAAGTAAATTTATTAGCTACAACTTCAAACAAAGGAACAGAATTTATACTTTACAATATTTCAAAGATTATTAACAAATTTACCAATTACTTTCAAATATTCCAATGATAAAGTATCACGATGGTAATATTTTTAGAGCAACAGTCTTGCAAATTTCAGCAAGACAAAACAAATATGCACTCAGTGTGTTTATAATATTGTACATTTATTGCCATTAAAGTGCAACATGGTCTTTGATTGATAGTACAATACATGAAGGTATGTGGTAAGACAAAAATAGCAAAATGCTTCTTTTACAGTAGAGTACAATCCTCATACCACTTCCATATTTAGTAATAACTTTACTGTAATCTACCACTGAAATTTAAACTGACTGAATAAATAATATATTTTATGGGATCTACTCAAATAGATGTTTGATTATAAACTAATGTTTCATGAATTAACTTCCAGTATGATTAAATTCGGTACAGTACTGGGTTTGGTCTAATGGAGTTTGTGCTTCTATCAGGGAATTCCATTCAAGGAGCCTTTCAGAAAATGTACCTAGCCATAGTCATACTGTAGGTCTAAACCTAACCTCAGGCTATTAAAAAATATTCAATTGCAAGATTTAAAAATCTGCAGCTGTAATCAGACCAGTGCGGTTTTTTTCAACATCATTTCTTTTGATTATTTATATGTGTTAATTAAAAATCGATCCAAAACATGGTGGTTATTCGGTCATAAAAACAGTCATCCATCCCTTGCTTCATTGCTGATGGATCGTCATTTTAATTTTGCCTTACTTTTTGTGACTGTTGATGGGGATTTCCCTTTTTTTCAATTTCTTTTTCTCTTGTGGGCAGGTCGCAAAATTCATTTCCTGAACATTTGAAGCAGTGTAAATAGTGTTTGTAAATAGGTGTTAAATTATAATTATTTTTTCTAAATAAATGTAATTTAAGTTGGTATGTATTTCAATCATTAAATATAATGTATTACTGAATCACTGTGTTAACTTTTCAAAAAAAGTGATAGGAGTTGGAAATATACCTATTGTTTTCTTTTCACTCATACTCACATACTGTAAAGCAAACCAATTCGGGGATACCCATCATGCGGTTTTTTTCAACATCATTTCTTTTGATTATTTATATGTGTTAATTAAAAATCGATACCAAAACATGGTGGTTATTCGGTCATAAAAACAGTCATCCATCCCTTGCTTCATTGCTGATGGATCGTCATTTTAATTTTGCCTTACTTTTTGTGACTGTTGATGGGGATTTCCCTTTTTTTCAATTTCTTTTTCTCTTGTGGGCAGGTCGCAAAATTCATTTCCTGAACATTTGAAGCAGTGAAGATTGGTGGCCCTACAAATTAATAATAGCACCTTCCAGATTTGGCAATGAATTCATGAATATTTTTTAGTAGTTTCTTATTGTCAGAACGGGTTCTGTGATTAATGTCGATAACATGTGATACGATTATTGGCATTATGTAGGTGTAGGTTGTTTCACTGACAATGGATGAAGAGTATGTTGAACACCACAGATTTGAATCCCATTTTTACATTTTAATTTAAATTATAACCCCGAATTTGATCGCATGAACCACGGAGGTTTGTTGTTTGTAAATAGGTGTTAAATTATAATTATTTTTTCTAAATAAATGTAATTTAAGTTGGTATGTATTTCAATCATTAAATATAATGTATTACTGAATCACTGTGTTAACTTTTCAAAAAAAGTGACAGGAGTTGGAAATATACCTATTGTTTTCTTTTCACTCATACTCACGTCATGAAAACATACGACTTGAGCGAGGCTGTTTATTCCCGCTCGCGGTTCTCTACCTCCACCCCAACCCATCAGTACTTAGTACCTGTCTCTTATACACATCTAGATGTGTATAAGAGACAGTATATAGCCTTGGTTTGGCTCTGTAATCATTAGTGGTCGTGGGACTAGTTTTGGCCTACCTAAGCTGGTCGAACGTTTCGTTTGGGTCTGTACCCTAGCTGCACTGATGAGAGGCCTGGAAGGCCGAAACGGATCCGTCTGCAGATATTGGGATTCCTTCCAGTGGATGCTAGTTTATTTTGTCATTCTGATCGGATTTTCTCTACTGTTCCGTTTTAATTTTAATTTTAAATTGTTTTGCATTATATGGCCATTTGCTGTTTTATGGGTTTTCCCCATTTGCCTTTCAAACTTATATATATATATATATATTTGAATCTGTTCAACATTAAGCCTCTGAGGTGTAATGGTGGTGTGAATGTGGTCAGAATTCTGACCACACTGGTCGGCGGTGGTCGGGCCCGTCCAGCACTCAACATTTCCGACCAGTATTTTTTGGCTGCCGACCACCATTATTTTTGCCATTCATAGAGGCAAAAAGAAAAACATAGGCTAACAAATAAAAAACTTTCGTTACACAACTACTAGAGTAGGGAGTTGTTGACTCATTGGCTAGACAATGGACATGCTATATTAGACAAGACAATAGAGAACAATTAACATCTCTGTGGTAATGTTAATTTGAAACCCAACTGCTAGGCGTAGGCTTCGTATTCTTGCTTTTTATTGAGCAACACACAATCAAATCGACGTCAAATCAACGCACATGGGGTAACCCCGAATTTGATCGCATGAACCACGGAGGTTTGTTGTTTGTAAATAGGTGTTAAATTATAATTATTTTTTCTAAATAAATGTAATTTAAGTTGGTATGTATTTCAATCATTAAATATAATGTATTACTGAATCACTGTGTTAACTTTTCAAAAAAAGTGACAGGAGTTGGAAATATACCTATTGTTTTCTTTTCACTCATACTCACGTCATGAAAACATACGACTTGAGCGAGGCTGTTTATTCCCGCTCGCGGTTCTCTAC